TATACTTTTATTTGTTGATTAACCTGATTGAGTTTAACTTTTGTAGATATCACCTTAGCTTAACTAAATTAAAACTCCATGTTCAGGTTTATATGTGGATGGAAATGACTAAAGAACAATCTCCACACGTTAGGCAGCAAGTTTAAACTCTTTTACCAGTCAGCCTTCTAAATTATTAATGACAAATAAATCTTAATATCAATGATGATCTCATAGAACAGTTGTGACAATGCTTGAAAATGTAGATGTAGGCAAGGCAGCCTATAACCTGTAGATAACCAATACATTGATAAAGCCAGTTGGAAAATGGGAAAAGAAAAAACAACCTAAGCATATTAAAATAAAATGTATACTATATTCCATGTAGAATACTTTTAGTCATTATTAAATTAGGATAATTCTGGTGTTTTAAAAAGTGAAATCAACATCCCTTCAGTCCCTTCAATCCTTCATGGTGACGTCACCCTTGGAAAAGCAGGTTTTTGTGAGCTGATTGGACAATCACCCAGCCAATCACCCTGCTGGTCTGCTGTTTTCCAGTAATCCCAGCCCACTCTGGAGACGCTGGGAAGAGGCACCAACTGGAACAGACCAAAAGGCGAGGGCAAAAACCTACACAGACTGTAAAAACGACTGGAAATACTGGACATACATTTCAAAGAGCGTCGAAAGAATTACTTTCGACCCTAAGAGGTAATTATGATGCAATTTATTTGTATTTTTCCTTCAAATTTGTCGTGACAGATGAGCTGAAGTGAGTTTGTGGATCGTGGTGTGGCCCCGCTGCCCTCGCTAGCAGCAGCAGAGCAGCAGTGTTTTTCCAAACATGCAGTTTTAGTGGCCTTCAGGGTGGATTAGCTGTCCAGTTGGACTCAATGAAGCTCACACTGGGCATTTGCTCCACCTGGGAATTTAAAAATAGACTGTTATAATGGCAGACTATCTACATTCAGAAACGTGAGCTCGGTGTTTGTTTGTTTTCTGATATGTCACGCTCTTCTGCCGCTAATGTTAGTGAAGAAAATTGTGTAAAATGTTACACTATGTGTCAGAAGCATAGTTGTCATTTCTGAAACCTACATCGACATGCACATAACCTAGTTGCTGTTGATTGATGTATATACTTATAATAAACAACTACAAAAAAATAAATAAAATANTACAAAATATATATATATATATATATATATATATATATATATATATATATATATATATATGAGTTGTGAAGGGAGAAAGAATGTTGCAAGTTAATGATGATAGTAATAAAGCATTTAAAATCCTAATTTATAATGTGCTGAAAATATTTTGGGTTTCTTTTCTTTGAAAGCTATTAAATTAATAGAAACATTTAATCACATATAATTTACTTTTAGACATCCTCCTTGAAAGAGTCTAAATAAATAAAGATTTAGGTAGAAAGGGCAATCATTTATAGATTTGGAATTTTGTTTTTTATCACAATTCAAATCCAAACCAATAAAACAAAACAAAACAAATCCTCCAAATTATTCATCTTTTCCCCCCTTTTTAAAATGTAAATCCAAAGAAAAGATTATCGTGAACTAATAGGTGAACTACTTATCAGAGGATGCTTTTACATGGTAAAGTATATTTAAAGTAATCTGTTTTCTGTATCAGTGAGGTATTATAAAACAAATGGAAAAAAAAATATGGAGAGGTTAAAAATGAAATTAAAGGACACTATATGACATACTGCCATGCCTGCAGTTTATTCAGGCTGGGAGAGAGTGGGACTTTTAGGAGATAACAGATAGGCTAAAGGGAGTACAATGGAGTTGGTCTGTTTGATCGTTTTAAGCCCTTGGTATTGAAATGTGAGCATTGAGACTGCTTGTTATTTTTGCTAAATGTGCTTATGGATACTAAGAACTCTTTAGAATTGCAGCATTGCAATAACTTAAATTGAACAGAAAAGTGTGCTATTAACTTTTTAATTATTGTATGATTTAATCTTAATAATTATTAGCAACCCAGAATGAAAAAACTGCTAAATGTTTTAACATATGTCCTATAGTCTAAATCTTAAAGAGAACTTAGAATCAACCAAGGGCTTTACAAAAACTGGTAAAGGTTTTGCTGCAAAAATGCATTTACATCCTAATCTGTAATTGAAAGTTCAATGTAAAATGTTTTTGAATTGGTGAAAACAAAAATGTAAGAGAAATGACCCTACATTAGAATCATTGACTTTAACCTGTAGGGCTTGGCCTAGATATTCTATTTTCATACTATTTCTGTTTCATTATGAAAAGTTACAGTCTGTTCAAGTATTTTTTTCTATCAGCAGCTTTATTAAAAGCCTTTTTTTGGGGGGGGTTGTAAGACATTTATTACATAACATTATTACATCCCTTAAATTATATTTTGTTTGTTTCAAACCTTAAATTGGGTAAAGGAAAACAATGAGTTGGTCGAATTAGAGATTAATCCTTTTTCCACATGTTCATTGAAGAGGCAAGGTTTAGCTTTTCCCCTATACCTGCTCCTGTTCTAGTATGAGTTGGCATATAAATTCTCAGTGTTAGTCACTGTACCAGTCTGGATAAAAATAAATCCCTTACTTGTACAGTGTTACACAGTCTGCCTTACTAATTGTATTTTTTGCCAACAGTCAGCTTAGAAGGTTTGTGTTTCCTAATTAAAAGAAAAAAAAAATTCTATTTTTTTTTTATCTTTGGAAACTTTCCTAATTTCCTTTCGCTACCAAAGAAGTGCATTCATAACTGATAAATGGGAATTGGGGGACCAGGAAGGAAGGAAATGCTGTTTGGTTCAGCTCCAAGAGTTACACACTGAGGACTGAATGTCCTTTTTCCACTTAGGTCAGGGCACCGACAAGTTCACATGGACATTCTTGTTTCCCAGCTCTCTCTTGTTTCTCCCTCATTCTCTCCCCAGCTTCCTGTCTTCTTTTCGCTTCATTTAAAGGTCGAAAATAAGTAGGAGTGGATTCAACTGTGTTTCAAAATATTCTCTCTCTCATAGTACACTGGAGTCTGTGTGTGCTTACTTGGTTTTTGTGGTTGTCATTTGATGGAGTAATGACAGACAGTGCAGCTGGGTGTAGGCTGTAGTGGAGGTCTTATCTCACAGTAGATGTGTTGCCATCGTTGCTTTTCTTTATGCTCATTTAGAAGTGTCGCATTAGAAGAGCTTATAGAAACAGAAAAATTAAAATGAACTCACTAATAGCAGCATCTGCAGCTTGTGAAATTTTGAACATTTGAGCGAAGTTTCTAGGGGAAAAACAGAACATACAATTTGTCATTTTTTGGTAAAGGCCGTACAAATGTACGGCTGTATGCTTTGCTAGCTAAAAACCTGATGGAGAAACATCTAATTGGCATTTTCTCTCTTTTTTTTTTTTGCTGACATTTAAAAGTTTATGTAAAATTCTTATGACATTTGGATGGAAACACGGCTAGTCTGTCACATGGTTTATAATCCAGCTTCCTGGTTGAAGAAGTTTTCAATATATATCCATGTTGATATATACCTCTTATGTCTGTGCTGCCCAACACTAATTATTAAAAACATTGACAGCTGTAGGGTGGAAGCTATAGGAGTGCCGACCATCATATCCCTCAGAGTATAAAATAGCTAAAACTAAAAGCAGTTTTATGTCCTTTCTGTCTTTTGAAATATTATTTGCCTTTTTTGGATTCCCTAAAATTTATGTTTACGTCACAGACAGATTACTAGTGCTTTATATTAACAAATAGTTTATTGAGTCTTTTTTTATTTTTTAGATAAAAGCTTTTTAAATACAGTTTTACAGTAGTTCACAGGCTAGTTGCAGCTTGTCAGGCAATACGATTTGTCATATGAACACATAATTTTTTTTTTATCCCCCTTTGAATTCTTTGTGAAATGAAAATAGGATTATGACAAATCAATTGATAAATGAAAAGCAGGAGAAGCAGAGCTCACTGTGAGGAATCAAAGTATGTACCCTCATTGCAAATATTTACCTTTGGATAAATTTAAAACTGTATATTTGCTGATTCTTGTAGTCCATGGAGTTGCGGGAAGTGTGTTTTCACATTTTGAAAGTTTCAGCCAGTAATGTCAGGGTACCAACGTTTACACAAAATTATTACCCACCACCACACATCCCATTGCTGGTCCATCCTGCACATTGCTTTTAGTTAATTCCTCACTTTAAAACTGATTCACAAAGAAGTTTACTGTTTGACCTTCCTAAATAGGAACAATTTAGGCAGTTTGAGAATTTTTTTTTTTAAAGTAACGGCATTATATGTGTTGTTTTAGTATCCTGCTGTCACATTGGTTACTGCTGCAGCGACAACAACAACCATTGCCAAGTAGGGGAGTATTGATTTGTGTGTAGCTATCAGTTTCTTCATGAGATTTCCCAGAACCGTCGGCTGTTTTTGTGACAATTTCCCATCAAAACACTGTTTTTTCTCTCTCCCCCCCTTTCCAGGATATTTCTCAGGTTGGTTTGAAAGTAACAAAGTAAACCTTTTTTGAAATGTGTTGCGGATGTACTTGGAAACAGGGTCTCCTTTGTGTTAAGAGCTGAGAGGTGTTATTTTGGTTCTGGTACAAAGGGCTTTGAAAGACAGTCTTTTTATGCTGAGACTTGCTGCTGAATTTCAGTAGAGCTAGATGTTGTTTTTAAGAGAGGACACTACCAGAAATGAAGAAAACGTTTTCTGTTGCCCTTCATGCTAAAATTAAGAAATCAAATTAACTTTATCTGGTTAGCTGTACAGCTGCACAAATTCCAACTACAATGAGACTCTTTAACATCTGCTGCATGTTTTAGATGGTTTTTATTAAACCCCTGGTTGGATATTCATACATTTTAAATTTTTGGTTGAACCAACCTTAAAATACAGCTCTATTTGCTAACATGTGACACAGATGTGATTCTTTTAGCTTCTGCAAAATCATTTAAGGAACAGACTAACTAAGTTAAGGGTTGGTTGGGGCTGGAGCCCATCTTAAGGGCTGGCTATACTCCCCGCAGCAGTGTGTCGCTATGAGCTTGTCGGGCATATTTTTGATTTATGCCCAATTGTGAAGCGTGGTCTGTGCTATGTTATTCCACACCACAACACAAGAGGGGCAATCATTAACTAGCTGTGGGTCTAGATATGGCCGAGGCGGTGAGGAAGTGGGGGCAAGTTTGTGCAACAACTGAGGGACGTGAGGGCCAAAAAGAGTGGAGATCCAGGTGGAAAAAGGGTCCTAGCGTTCTTGCGCACTTCGCTTTTCTAGTTGGTCCAACTTCAGGAGTCGTTTTTAAAATGGCGCCAAAAAGGAAATACGCATACTGTAGAGTGGTTGTAGAATTGACAAAAAGAGGCCTCCTGTCTGCGGTCACCTACAATTTTGGAGAAGTGCACCAGAGTGTCTGAGGAAGGGGCAGGGGCACATTTGTGTTCACTGCAACACACACACAGACAACCTGGTTTCTGAGTATAAATCAGTCTTCAGATGTCATATAGCAACAGACAAGGTAGTCTGAGCCAGTCAGGACAGCCAGTGTAGTGTAGTAAACATTTTAGATAGTTAAAAGAGACTTATGGTTTTTAGTATGCACCAAATGGAGTTTTTTGTCCTAAACTTAAAGGGGAACAGCATTCATTTTTTACATTGGCCCCTTGATTTTACATTATTACATCATGTTCTACTCACCC